GATAGATAGATAGATAGATAGATAGATAGATAGATAGATAGATAGATAGATAGATAGATAGATAGATAGATAATCTTCTGCACCCCAAAAAAAAACATTTTCTGCTTTAAATGGTTCTGCATTTTGCATGTTCTATCATTTAGAGTAAGGTGGGTGGAAATTAAATATATAAATACATCATGAAATAAAGAAAATTAATTATTAAATACTTAAATGAATTATTTAATTATTTAATACATCATTAAATCCATCCATCCATCCATCCATCCATCCATTATCTTTACCCGCTTATTCCATTTTGGGTCACGGGGGTCACTGGTGCCCATGTCCAGCAATCACAGTGCGAGGGGCGGGGTACACCCTGGACGGGTCTCCAGTCCATCACAGGGACACATAGAGACAAACGAGACAAACAACCATTCACTTTCTCACTCACACCTAGGGACAATTTAGAGTTACCAATCAGCCTAACATGCATGTTTTTGGTCTGTGGGAGGAAACCGGAGCACCCGGAGAAAACCCACGCATGCACAACATCATTAAATATCTAATTAAATTTAATGAAATGTCATTTTCAAAAAAATTTTTAAAAATAAATTTAATTATTTCACTATATTCATTGATTTCATGGCTCTTGTGCAGCAGTGTCATGAAATCATGTAAACTGTCAACCTCACTCATCAAACTCAGTGGGCGGGACTAACGCTGATCATGTGAAATCCATTGCTTTGGTCTGAAGTCAGTTCAAACATGGCAGCTCCCTCCATGCAGAACCTTAATTTGCTCTCTCGTGAACTGGTTAGAGATATTTCAAACCAAGCTAGGGATATAGAAGCTGGAGCTTCTCCCCCACAGATTGTGGTAAATAAACTGGAAAAGGTTTTTGAAGTTATTGGAGTTATTTCTGCACCTTCCAACAAAGACATCGACTCAAGAGTGACAGCAAACTTGGAAGTACTCCAACGGTTCTCCAGTACTTTGGTTTAATGATGTATTGAATAATTAAATGATCATTTAAGTCCAACAAAGGTCATCTGGACAGTTCCTTTTTTAGGTTGAAACATTTTGTCCTTCATCCAAAGGACTTCATCAGTCTGAGGAGCCACAACAAACTCGGTTCCTCAAGCAGCACATTCACATAGTGGACCAACCAGTTTGCTGGGGATAAGATGATTTATGGAGCCCACCATCTCCCTCTATGTAGGCTCCTCTGAGGCAGCCATAGTCAAACTGGTTCAAAACATCAAAGTTCATGCTCAATAATCCAGGTAAAAAAATCCAACAAAGTTAAGTCAGGTCATTGGTTAGCCCACTATGTGATTGAGTTTGTTGTGGCCTCTCGGACTGACGAAGTCCTTTGGATGAAGAACAAAATCATGTAGGACTTTTTTTTTTACCCGGATTATTGAGCATGAACTTTGATGTTTTGAACCACTTTGACTATGGCTGCCTCAGAAGAGTGGACAGGGGAGAGGGCGGGTCCCAAAAACCATCTTATCACCATCAAACTGGTTGGCCTGCAATGTGAGTGTGCTGCTTGTGGGACTGAGTTTGTTGTGGCCTCTCGGACTGACGACGTCCTTTGGATGAAACGTTTCGACAACAAAAAAAGTAACTGTCCAGATGACCTGACTGAACTTTGCTGGATTTTTTACCTGGATTATTGAGCAAGAACTTTGAAGAAACATTTAATTATAATGTATTTATTTATTTAATTTAGTCATCTTCCACCCTCCATTTTAGAGGACTACAAAAAAGAGGTCTTGTCTCTCTTCCTCTTCCAGCAGCTCCGATTAACGCTTGTTAAAAGGTTTTGTTGCATCAAATAAAAAGATAAGGTGATAGCTCGTCTATATTGAAGGAAACTAAAAAATAAAATGCATAAAAGTCACAGGGCGTTATGATTCAACATCCTGTTTTAGATTAAATTAATGATTTCAAAGAAACAGCTGTTCAACAAGAGACAACGCCTCCCCACGCCCACCTTGTGTAACGATGTTCTCTCCACCAGCTGGAAAGGTGAAGGGTCAACTCGTATCTCATCAATTTCCATCGGCTTGTCCATCTCTGCCTCTTCCCACGCTTTGATCTGCAGCAGCAAACAAACGGGAGGGTCACACGGATCAGACCAAATGTCTGGCAGCAGTTAGAGTCGCCAGAAACTACAAAAACAAACATCACGACTCGGAGAACTGAGCCGGAGGGAAGCAGGATCTTCATACTTGAGTGGAAACAGTGTGTTCAGACAGAATGTGCGCTGCTGTAGGAGAAGGTGGAAAAATAACACGGAGCCATTCAGTATAGTCTCTGAAACTTTAAGCTCCATCATCTGAGATTTGAAACTTCAAACACCCTTTAGCCCAGGGATGTCAAACTCATTGACAAAAGAGGTGCAAAATTAAAATATTTTTCAAACTAAGGGCCAATTTCAGAACTACATAAACTCAAATCAGATACCAAACATCTATGTGGGCTGCGTACGACTGCCTGGTTAGCTCGGTCGGCACTCATCCCCACCGGTCTTTAAGGGGCGGAGATTGTTTTAAGGGTAGAGGTGGAAATGCTTACTTGAAGAGGCAGATCGCATGTGATATTAAAAAGTCGTAAGTGGCTGTTGTGTTTAAAATTAGTATTCATGTAATTATTTTCAGTTTACATGTTCAATATAAGTTTTATTAATTCAAGGTAGTCATCGGTTCATAACTTTATTAATAGTAATCCTGACAGTTACTGGATCCAAGGAAACAGTTACCGGAATGCACCCTGTCAAAATAAGAGCGTTCCCAGACTGTGTTACGGCAGGATCCGGCTCAAATTAAGCCCTGTTAAAACTTTTAAACAACTTAGAAGAAAAAAAAAAAAAAAACTATCAAGATAACTTCTTTCACTTTCATTACTTGATCTAAAAAGGTTTGATGACCTAATACAAATATAATAGTAACAGATGATCATATTGAGAAAACTTAACCCGACGTTGGATTAAAAAGATTAAAATCCGTTATCTCCTCCTCGTGGTCCTACCTCATCTGGTGTCATCGTGTCTGACAGAGAAGGAGAGCACGGCTCCTGGAAAAATGGAAAAAAATGTATTTTAAAATAATAGGTTTATCAGGATGTCATTAAAATAACACTTGTTGCACTGTGTCGTTTTAAAATCTATTAAATTTGTTCTAAATTAAACAATAAAATTAGAGGTTTTCTCTAAAGCAAATTTAAGGGACCTGCATTTAACAGCCATGTTTACTTTTGTCACCTTTAAAAATTAATTACCACACTTTAAATTATTAAACCAACCCCTGCTGTGATTTATTCAATAAAGCGAATTAATCAGGGGCTTTTCTTGCTTTTCATTTACTGGACGTCTTGGTGAAATTTGTCCTTGAAGCAACAAAACAAACGCACCTAATGTGAAAAATGGATCGGGAGTTTAGCCACAAGCTAAGCTGTTTAAAAGACCAGACGAATAATATCCATTTTCAGGGTAAATCACTAGAACTATTAGAGTTTGGCGGGAAGCAGCTTATTTGGTGCACAAATATCTAATTTAATAACAGATCTGAGCCGGGTTTGGTATTCTGCTGCGCGCCTGTTTGATATTCCGGGTGATGAAAATCTGTTTGATGTAAAAACATTCCCCACCAAGGAGCAGGACTGAATCCAAAGACGTAATTGATAATCACACCAGCAATTCGCAAACCCCAGCAGTGGGCCGAGCAGAAATCACGTTCTGCTCCTGCGAGCGCACACCTCGAGCTTCTCTTTCCTGCAGGTGACGTGCTTTGTTTTGGCTGCGAGTCAGACTCACTGCAGAGCTGAGTATAATGAGGCGTCTCCATTTCCACATGGGAGGAGGTGGAAAGCGAAGATAAAAAAAATAAAAACGCCAGACTTTTTGGAGTTTGTCTGAAGCAGCTGTGTATTCAGGAGGTAAAATAATCAGCTCTGTATCTGAATAAAAAGATCTTTCATTGAAAAGTTCACCTTCCAAAGTCTGAAGATCTGGCGTTTGTTTGAATGTTCTGGACTCGCTGCAGTTTGGTAAATTAAAGGCTTGGCATTTCTTACCACCATCAACGCAAGAGATTTCAACTGTTGAGATCCTACGAGAGCTGTTAGCCCTCAGAGTATGTGTTGAGGAGGACTCTCAGCTACTGCCACATCACATTTCGTAGCCATTTTACTGTTGGTCATTGTGGATTAGCTGTGGCGGCTTTTTGTGCTGCTTTAACTGCAAATGTTAAGAACTTGCGCGTGCACTTTGAACAGTTACTTAATGAAAGTTGCTCTTCTAGATGCTGTGCAGGCTATCACGAGATATTTTGCTAACAAACTGGGTTGACTTTAAAAAGTAACACAAACTTTTATTGTTAAACTCTCCCATAGCTACAGCTACACCAAATTTTAGCACAAAATCTGCAGAAAATTTGATATTTTATATGTTTTATTTATTTAGATCAGCTGGCTTTAGTTGCCATGTTGACTTGGTTCGGTTTCTCAAAACATAATCTGCATGACAATTTTATTAAAAATTACTTCCTGCAAGTTTTATTAAAATTCCTCGAGTGGTTCATGAGAAATGTTACTACCAGACACACAAACACTAAAAACACAGAAAAAGCTGATTGTCCACCTTTGCCTTTTGGCAGCAGGTGATAAACGTGTTTTTAGACGTACAGACCGTTACCGACGTGGCACCAGGGTGGAAATGTTGGAACATGTTCAGAACTGGGAGGAAATGGATGACACGAACGCACCTGCAGCTCTTTCTCAGACTGTCTGCTTTTGGAGGTGAAGAGGCTCCCGAGTGTTTTTCTCACCGACTGCAGAGGAGCTTTCTCTAAAAGAGGAGCAAAGGAAGAGATGGAGATGGGGAGGGATGAATTAAAGAAACGCAGCTCGGGAGAAAATAACTGATCTGCGGCGAGGGATGTCAAGAATCTGCGAGGAAACAAAGGAAGCTTTTATCGCTGTTGCCTGGTTACGGTTTGAGTCGGAGATGGTTTGTTGGTGAGTTTGATGAGCTGCTGAGGAGTTTAACACAACAGACACACTCACCATCTGCTTACTGGCAGAACACGATGACAAAACTTCGCTCAACGCTGATACAAACTTAGTCTGATTGTTTGGGGGCAGGAAAACAAAAGTTTAGATTAGATTGTTTAAATGTCAGACGTGTTGGTAATTAAAGCCCTTTAAAGACCCCGGACACTTAGAGTCAGAGTTTCTTTATTGTCATTCGCACCTCATGTGGTACATGTGGTGGAACGAAATTATGTACACATGGTCCCAGTTACATCCAACAATAAAATGTATAAGAAAAACAGTAATAAGATCTAAGATATGAACTAAGAAAAACATCAACTAAAAATACACTAAGCACTCATAACATATAAACATTACGTCGAACATCAGCACGAACATGAACATGAGTCTGTGTGAGCAGATGAGCACGCATGAACACATCAACATTGAAACAGATCAGCAGCAACATTGAAACAGATCAGCAGCAACATTGAAACGGATCAGCAGCAACATGATGTGATTTTTTTCACAGTGATTATTCTGGTTAGAGATTCATGAGTCTAACAGCCTCAGGGTAGAAGCTGTATGTGTACGTATGTACATGTACATATGCATTTATATGCATGCTTATATGCAATGTGTATGTGTGTAAATAGGTTAATCATTAATGTAGCGCTCCCTACCACCCTGTGCAGATTGTCTTTTTTCCAAATTTGTGTATTCTGCTTCTTTTTTGGTTATTTCATTTGTATTTTGGTATGTGAATTTAGAAAATACTACTGGATGCCTCAATCCCGGCCCCCAGGAATTAATAAAGGAATTAAGTAAGTAAAGTTAGTAAGTAAATGGACTGTACTTATATAGCACCTTTCTATCTTATGAAGACACTCAAAGTGCTTTACACTATAATCTGTGCCTCATTTACCCATTCATACAGCTCTATACTAGATCTGTACAAAGTCAGTTGAACAAATTATTTTAAAGAGACTTAATTACTTATTTACCTTAACCACTTAAATTAAGTAAGGTAAGTAAGTAAGTAAAGTAAAGTAAGTAAAGTAAGTAAGTAAGGTAAGTAATTAAGTCAAGTAAGTCAAGTAAGTCAAGTAAGTAAATATGTAAGTAAATAAAGTAAGTAAAGTAAGTAAGTAAAGCAATTAAAGTAAGCAAGTAAATAAGTAAAGTAAGTAAATAAAGTAAATAAGTAAAGTAAGTAAGTCAAGTAAGTCAAGTAAGTCAAGTAAGTCAAGTAACGTAAGTAGGTTAGTATAGTAAGTAAATTAAGTAAATTAAGCACAGTAAGTAAATTAAGTAAGTAAAATATGTAAAGTAAGTAAAGAAAGTAAGTAAGTAAAGTAAGTCAAGTAACGTAAGTATGGTAAGTAAATTAAGTAAGCAAATTAAGCAGTCAGTAAAGTAAGTAGGTAAAGTAAGTCAAGTAACGTAAGTAGGTAAGTATAGTAAGTAAATTAAGTAAATTAAGCACAGTAAGTAAATTAAGTAAGTAAAATATGTAAAGTAAGTGAAGAAAGTAAGTAAGTAAAGTAAGTCAAGTAACGTAAGTATGGTAAGTAAATTAAGTAAATTAAGTAAGCAAATTAAGCAGTAAGTAGGTAAAGTAAATAAGTAACGTAAGTAAGTAAAGTAAATAAATAATGCAAGCAAGCAAGCATCTATCCATCCATCCATCCATCTATCCATCCATCCATCTATCTATCTATCCATCTATCTATCCATCTATCTATCTATCTATCTATCTATCCATCTATCCATCTATCCATCTATCCATCTATCCATCTATCCATCCATCCATCCATCCATCCATCCATCCATCCATCCATCCATCCATCCATCCATCCATCCATCCATCTATCTATCTATCTATCTATCTATCTATCTATCTATCTATCTATCTATC